TTAAAAGTGCGTATAATCGTCTTTGATATGCTGAAAACAAAAGTTACAGATGTTTTTCGAAAAATAGAATTTAGGATGATACAACATATAAATGAAATTGGACACCGAACAATGAAACATTATTGCCAAGGTAAAACGGAGTCAGTTTGCATCCAAATTTTTTTTGTCCTCTATCTAAAAGATACGATGATATTTTTTCGATTTTAAAATGCCTTGTATCAGTTAGTATATATCGTGGAAAAAACGGAAAATGTTATGTTCTAAACAAATAAATTGCGCTTGAAGGGCTCGACTCTTTTCTCATCCGAAGTCGTAAAACACGTCCGGACGTTGATTAAAGCATGGCTTGCTTCATGCTTTGGTTTTCCTGACATATGATGGTTCCGGTAAAACATTTTGATGCGTTTCAAAGTGCGTATAATCGTCTTTGATATGCTGAAAACAAAAGTTACAGATGTTTTTCGCAAAAGTGGAATATTTAGGAAGATACAACACCATAAATGAAATGGGACAGCGAACAATGGAACATTATTGCCAAGTTAAAACGGAGTTTGGATCCAAATTTTTTTGTCGTTTATCTAAAAGATACGATGATATTTTTTCGATTTGAAAATGCCTTGTATCAGTTAGTATATATCGTGGAGAAAAACGGAAAATTGTATGTTCTAAACAAATAAATTGCGCTTGAAAGGCCCGACTCTTTTCTCATCCGAAGTCGTAAAAAACGTCCTGACGTTGATTAAAGCATGGCTTGCTTCATGCTTTGGTTTTCCTGACATATGATGGTCCCGGTAAAACATTTTGATGCGTTTCAAAGTGCGTATAATCGTCTTTGATATGCTGAAAACAAAAGTTACAGATGTTTTTCGCAAAAGTGGAATATTTAGGAAGATACAACACCATAAATGAAATGGGACAGCGAACAATGGAACATTATTGCCAAGGTAAAACGGAGTTTGCATCCAAATTTTTTTTGTCGTCTATCTAAAAGATACGATGATATTTTTTCGATTTTAAAATGCCTTGTATCAGTTAGTATATATCGTGGAAAAAAACGGAAAATGTTATGTTCTAAACAAATAAATTGCGCTTGAAGGGCTCGACTCTTTTCTCATCCGAAGTCGTAAAACACGTCCGGACGTTGATTAAAGCATGGCTTGCTTCATGCTTTGGTTTTCCTGACATATGATGGTTCCGGTAAAACATTTTGATGCGTTTCAAAGTGCGTATAATCGTCTTTGATATGCTGAAAACAAAAGTTACAGATGTTTTTCGCAAAAGTGGAATATTTAGGATGATACAACACCATAAATGAAATGGGACAGCGAACAATGAAACATTATTGCCAAGGTAAAACGGAGTTTGCATCCAAATTTTTTTTGTCGTCTATCTAAAAGATACGATGATATTTTTTCGATTTGAAAATGCCTTGTATCAGTTAGTATATATCGTGGAGAAAAACGGAAAATGGTATGTTCTAAACAAATAATATGCGCTTGAAAGGCCCGACTCTTTTCTCATCCGAAGTCGTAAAACACGTCAGGACGTTGATTAAAGCATTGCTTGCTTCATGCTATCGTTTTCCTGACATATTATGGTTCCTGTAAAACATTTTGATGCGTTTCAAAGTGCGTATAATCGTCTTTGATATGCTGAAAACAAAAGTTAGAGATTTTTTTCGCTAAACTAGAATATTTACGATAATACAACACCATAAATAGAATGGGACAGCGAACAATGAAACATTATTCCCGCGATGGAACGGAGTTTGCATCCAAATTTTTTTTGTCCCCTATCTAAAAGATACAATAATATTTTTTCGATTTGAAAATTCCTGGTATCAGTTAGTCCATATCGTGGAAAAAAATGGAAAATATTATGTTCTAAAAAAAAATTGCGCTTAAAATGCCCGACTCTTTTGTCTTCCGAAGTCGTAAAACACGTCCTGACGTTGATTAAAACATGGCTTGCTTCATGCTTTGTTTTTCCTGAAATATGATGGTTCCGGTAAAACATTTTGATGCGTTTCAAAGTGCGTATAATCGTCTTTGATATGCTGAAAACAAAAGTTACAGATGTTTTTCGCAAAACTGAATATTTAGGATGATACAACACCATAAATGAATGGACAGCGAACAATGAAACATTATTGCCAAGGTAAAACGGAGTTTGCATCCAAATTTTTTTTGTCCTCTATCTAAAAGATACGATGATATTTTTTCGATTTGAAAATGCCTTGTATCAGTTAGTATATATCGTAGAGAAAAACGGAAAATGTTACGTTCCAAAGAAATAAATCGCGCTTGAAAGGCCCGACTCTTTTGTCATCCGAAGTCCGTAAACACGTCCTGACGTTGATTAAAGCATGGCTTGCTTCTTGCTTAGGTTTTCTTGACATATTATGGATCCGGTAAACTTTTTGATGCGTTTCAAAGTGCGTATAATCGTCTTTGAAGCTGAAAACAAAAGTTAGAGATGTTTTTCGCAAACTAGATTTAGGATGATACAACACCATAAATGAATTGCGACAGCAAACAATGAAACATTATTGCAAAGGTAAAACGGAGTTTGCATCCAAATTTTTTTTGCCCTCTATCTAAAAGATACGATGATTTTTTTCGATTTGAAAATGGCTGGTATCAGTTAGTATATATCGTGGAGAAAAACAGAAAATTTTTTGTTTATAAACAAATAAATCGCGCTTGAAAGGCCCGACTCTTTTCTCATCCAAAGTCGTAAAACACGATCTGACGTTTATTAAAGCATGGCTTGCTTCATGCTTGCGTTTTCCTGACATATGATGGTTCCGGTAAAACATTTTGATACGTTTCAAAGTGCGTATAATCGTCTTTTATATGCTGAACAAAAGTTACAGATGTTTTTCGCAAAACTAGAATATTTAGGATGATACAACACCATAAATGAAATGCGAGAGCGAACAATGAAACATTTTTGGCACGGAGTTTGAATTCAAATTTTTTTGTCCCCTATCTAAAAGTTACGATAATATTTTTCGATTTGAAAATTCCTTGTATCAGTCAGTCCATATCGTTGAGAAAATGGAAATATTATGTTCTAAAAAAAATTGCGCTTAAAATGCCCGACTCTTTTCTCTTCCGAAGTTTTTATTATTATTTATTATTATTTATTTAAAATATTTTAGAACGGTAGCTCTTCAGGGCTCTTACGCACCTGATTTTCAAGAGGCCGTTCGTTTACAAGTTAAAAACACACTATACTATACAAATATATACAAATAAATTACCAGTTACTTAAGTAAGTACAATAGGCGTCGGAAATGTTTATCATTCTAGAGAATAGTGACCGAGAATTGATCTAAACTTCTGGCTACTCAAGCCTGGGTCTTTAGCCTCTGGGGGTAAATTATTCCAGGCCGAAGCAGCTGCATAGCTTATGCTTTTTTCATGAAATTTGTATTAGGTTTGTCAAGGCTGAAATCTCGGTTGTTGCTACGGAGGTTATACCTTGAGTTTGTTTTAATATCAAACATATTCGTTGTGGTACTTGGCATTTTGTCATTCCTAATCTTGTGCGTAAAAATTAATTTCTTTCGTTTAAAGCGTTCTTTCAGGGGTTGCCAGTGAAGTTCTTTTAAAACATCTCGTGATCTCGTTTCGTATGTTTTACTAGTGATTACGCGTGCTGCTCTGTTTTGCAATTTTTGTAATTTATCAATTAAATAATCACTGCAATTGTCCCATACAAGGCTACAATAGTCGAAATGTGGTAGAATAATGGCATTGTAGACTTTTGTTAATGTTGTTTTTGGAACTAATTTTCTCATTCTCCGCAACGTGCCAATACCTTTTGAAATTTTTGTTTGAATGTTTTCGATTTGCCTTTCCCAAGTAAGGTGTTCGTCTATAACAACACCCAGAGTTTTAGAAAAACTTACTCGTTTGATTTTTGTTTCACCTACGTGGATTTCCGGTTCATTTGACATATTAGAGAGCTTTTGTCTAGATCCAATTACCATGTATTCGGTCTTCTCCTTATTCAGAGTGAGTTTGTTAGTCAATAGCCACTGGTGTATGTTCTCTAGGTCGTGATTTAGGGAATCCTGAATTTCCATTGCCGATTTGCCTTGTGTTGAAATGTTTGTATCATCAGCAAACATGCTAACAGTCGATGTTGACAAGCAATTTGGAAGATCGTTTATGTACAATAGAAATAGTAATGGTCCGAGGTTTGAACCCTGCGGTACACCACATTTAACGATTCTTTTGTCAGATAATATTTGATTAACTTTACAAATTTGAGTCCTATTAGAGAGATAAGACTGGAACCATTTAAATGATTTTTCTCTTATTCCATAGTGGAAGAGTTTCCTTAGCAAAATACTATGGTCAACACAGTCAAATGCCTTTTTTGGTCAAGGAAGATAACACCGTTCAAACTTCCCTTATCCATGTTGACAAACCATTGATTTGTTATATTAAGGAGAGAGGTCTGAGTGCAGTGTGATTTTCTAAAACCAGATTGTTGTTGTACTAGTATATCATTCTTTTCTAGATAAGTTTCCAGCTGTTGAGTGATAAGTTTTTCGAATATTTTTGCAACGTTAGATAAAATTGAAATTGGTCTGTAGTTACTGCAATCGGTCTTGCATCCCGATTTATGTATTGGTGTGATTATTGCCGTTTTAAAATCATTTGGAAATATGCCTGTATTTATAGACGTGTTGAATATTGTGTGAGTGAATGTGCTATTATATCAGCTGAGTCTTTTAAAAGTTTGTTAGATATTCTATCATATCCTGATGATTTAGAAACATCGATAGATGATAGGATTTTGTGAACGTCTATTACAGTAACATTTTTTATCTGGAATTGCGAGTTACAGTTGGAGAGGTATGACTCAGGCAATTTTGAAGCTTGTTCCAGATTATTAGCTAAGTTGGTTCCAATTTCGTTGAAATAAGTATTGAAGGTTTTGATATGGATGGAGCATCTGTAAAACTTTGGTTTTCGTGCTTAACTTCAAATAATGGTCGTTTTTGTATTTTTATTAGTAAGTTTATTGATTGTTTTCCACATCTGTTTTGGTTGGTTTTCGCAGTTGTTTAGGGTGTTTGTAAAATAGTTGGTTTTAGTTCTCTTTATCAAAATGTTAAGCTCATTTCGTGCTTTTCTAAAAGCATCATGGATTTGTTTTGATCCAGTTTTCACTGATTTTCTTTTCAAAAAGTCCCTACGATGCATCAAGTTTTTAATCTCCCTGGTAATCCATGGGGCATGTTCACTTCTTACTTTCCTAGTGATCGGTGGTGCATGCCTGTCAGCTACTGTAACATATATATCTTTCCATTCATCCCACATTTCATCCGGGTTATTCGTTACTGAGATTGTTTGCAAATGAATTGCTAATTCTTGTTTGAATTCGTCAACGTTGTAGTTTTTAAATTGCCTTGTTTTAATTATTTTTGGCGCTTTTCGTTGTATTGAGATTTTTCTTTGAATAAATATGAGACTATGGTCGCTAATCCCTATGTGGTCTACACCAGTATTCATGATTATTTCTGGTTTGTTTGTAAAAGCTAGGTCAATTTGTGTTTTAGATGTCTCAGTTACTCGTGTAGGTTCGTTAATTAATTGTTCAAATTGTAGAGTTTTTGTGAGTTCGGCAAGTTTCTTTGTCTGGGAACTGGCATTGTTGTTTACAATTTGAGACCAGTCACAGTTGAAATCTCCAATTAATATTACTTCTTTGTTTTCATTGTCCATTTTCTTAACGAGGTCTTCATATATATTAAAGATTTCTATCATAGAGTCAGGTGGTCTATACCAACAATTTATCAAAAAGGGTTTCGATTTAGGTTTAGAGATCTCAATTGTGATCGTTTCAAGTTCGTTAGACATCAGCTCTTTTCTTATGCTATAATTTATATGAGTTCTTAAGTAAATAGCAACTCCCCCCCCATTTCGGTTCCTGTCTTTACGTACAATTTCGTACCCACTTATTCCGACTTCATGATTCGGAACCGTAGCATCAAGCCGAGTTTCGTTAATACAAATGACATCAAATTGTTGGTTTAAAAGATAAAGACGAAGTTGGTCTAGGTTTTTCACTAGACTTCTGATATTCAGAAGGGCAATAGTAAATCCTTTTAATTTAAATGGTTTAAGCTTATTAGCATTCGAATTTGGTTCGCAGTTGTGGACTTCAGTTTTACTATTCTCGATCACTTCCCTCCTTAAATTATGTTGATAGTTGCATTTGGAATCATTTTTGGTGTAGTGATTAAGCTCAGGGCGCGTATTATTAACTATAGTATTACGATTAGTTAAAGAAATATAATCTGCTGTATAATTCCTTTTGTTGTGAAATAGTCAAGTTTTAAAAAAATTGATATAGTTTTTTGCCAGTAAGGCTGTACCTTGCCTATTTAGGTGTAAACCTGATCCATTAAGATGTCTAGTGTTTATATTGCTGTGATCAATAAAGTACCAATTTGATTCTTCGCAAAGATTCGATAACAATTTATTAGTTTCATGAATCTTAGTGTTTAACATCGGATCTTGTCGTTTTACAATTTCTGAATAGCTATTTCGCAAGTAGGATTCCGTTTTACTATACCTTGACATAACGCCTTCGCTTCGGCTGCTAGCTCCTCTGGTTTCTTGTTCTGTATGTCGTTTGTACCAACATGTAAGATAATCGTATTGGGCTTTGTACGTAGCGTTGGTTGTACGTAATGCTCCATGTCCGCTATTTTGGCCCCTGGGAAGGTTTTAACTTGGATTTTTTTCCCAGCAGAACGCGAGAGTTTGGCTGGCTGCAGCATCTTTACCATAGAGTCTCCAAGGATAATGATTGGACTTTTTATTGACTTTGTGTTTGTTGCTTGTGTTTGAGGTTGAGTGTTGATGCCTGCCTGATTCCTATCAGTTATATCCGATTTACCATTTGAATTAATGCCTGGTTGCTCATCGTCGTCAATATTAAGAGCCTCATAGCGATTACTGAGTTGAATGTTTGCTCTCCCGGTCTCGGTTCTACGGCCTTGTCCTTGTTTTCGCGTCGAATTTAGTTTTTTGTTCTGTGCTTGAGACGGTTGCTCAATATTAGTATCGGTATAGGGAGCTGCTTGAAGAAGTCTTATTGATGTAATTAGGCTAGCCTTTCATTGTCAAGGTCCTTGATTTTTGTGTTCATATCCGAATCTGTAAGTGTTAAATTTTCAATCTTGTTCCGAAGAGTTTGGTTCTCGTCCTTTAACTCTTGATTTTCTCGTCTTAGCTCGTTTATTAACATGTGTTTGTCATCAACTTTTGTTCCAAGCACCTCTTGTTTCAGATCATTAACTTTCCTGTTTAATGTAGTGTTCAAATCATTGATTTTATTCTCCAAATAGTTAAAAACATCTTTAAATGCTTCGTCAACAAGTGGCAGGTTAGGGTCGTATGACTCGTTGCTAATTTCCGATTGATTAGTATTCAGGGTCGAAGCAACATAACCTTCGTCCTCGTGGCGACCTTAGTTCGATTTGTTTAGATTTAGTAGACTTTCGGATGCAACTATTTTTTGTCCCCTATCTAAAAGATACGATAATATTTTTTGATTTGAAAATTCCTTATATCAGTCAGTCCATATCGTGGAAAAAAATGGAAATATTATGTTCTAAAAAAAATTGCGCTTAAAATGCCCGACTCTTTTCTCTTCCGAAGTCGTAAAACACGTCCTGACGTTGATTAAAGCATGGCTTGCTTCATGCTTTGGTTTTCCTGACATATGATGGTTCCGGTAAAACATTCTGATGCGTTTCAAAGTGCGTATAATCGTCTTTGATATGCTGAAAACAAAAATTAGAGATGTTTTTCGCAAAACTAGAATATTTAGGATGATACAACACCATAAATGGAATGGGACAGCGAACAATGAAACATTATTGCCGCGATGGAACGGAGTTTGCATCCAAATTTTTTTTTTTGTCCCCTATCTAAAAGATACGATAATATTTTTCGATTTGAAAATTCCCTGTATCAGTCAGTCCATATCGTGGAGAAAAATGGAAAATATTATGTTCTAAAAAAAATTGCGCTTAAAATGCCCGACTCTTTTCTCTCCCGAAGTGGCAAAACACGTCCTGACCTTGATTAAAGCATGGCTTGCTTCATCCTTTGGTTTTCCTGACATATGATGGTTCCGGTAAAACATTTTGATTCGTTTCAAAGATCGTATAATCGTCTTTGATACGCTGAAAACAAAAGTTAGAGATGTTTTTCGCAAAACTAGAATATTTAGGATGATACAACACCATAAATGAATTGCGACAGCGAACAATGAAACATTATTGCCAAGGTAAAACGGAGTTTGCATCCAAATTTTTTTTGTCCTCTATCTAAAAGATACGATGATATTTTTTCGATTTGAAAATGGCTGGTATCAGTTAGTATATATCGTAGAGAAAAACGGAAAATGTTGTGTTCCAAACAAATAAATCGCGCTTGAAAGGCCCGACTCTTTTCTCATCCGAAGTCGTAAAACACGTCCTGACGTTGATTAAAGCATGGCTTGCTTCATGCTTTGGTTTTCCTGACATATGATGGTTCTGGTAAAACATTTTGATGCGTTTCAAAGATCGTATAATCGTCTTTGATATGCTGAAAAAAAAAGTTAGAGATGTTTTTCGCAAAACTAGAATATTTAGGATGATACAACACCATAAATGGAATGGGACAGCGAACAATGAAAAATTATTGCCGCGATGGAACGGAGTTTGCATCCAAATTTTTTTTGTCCCCTATCTAAAAGATACGATAATATTTTTCGATTTGAAAATTCCTTGTATCAGTCAGTCCATATCGTGGAGAAAAATGGAAAATATTAGTTCTAAAAAAAATTGCGCTTAAAATGCCCGACTCTTTTCTCTTCCGAAGTGGTAAAACACGTCCTGACCTTTATTAAAGCATGGTTTGCTTCATGCTTTGGTTTTCCTGACATATGATGGTTCCGGTAAAACATTTTGAGGCGTTCCAAAGTGCGAAAAATCGTTTATGATATGCTGAAAACAAAAGTTACAGATGTTTTCGCAAAACTAGAATATTTAGGATAATACAACACCATAAATGAAATGCGAGAGCGAACAATGAAACATTATTGCCACGGAGTTTTAATTCAAATTTTTTTTGTCCCCTATCTAAAAGATACGATAATATTTTTCGATTTGAAAATTCCTTGTATCAGTCAGTCCATATCGTGGAGAAAAATGGAAAATATCATGTTCTAAAAAAAATTGCGCTTAAAATGCCCGACTCTTTTCTCTTCCGAAGTGGTAAAACACGTCCTGACCTTTATTAAAGCATGGCTTGCTTCATGCTTTGGTTTTCCTGACATATGATGGTTCCGGTAAAAAATTTTGATGCGTTCCAAAGTGCGTATAATCGTCTTTGATATGCTGAAAACAAAAGTTACGGATGTTTTTCGCAAAACCAGAATATTTAGGATGATACAACACCATAAATGAAATGCGAGAGCGAACAATGAAACATTATTGCCACGGAGTTTGAATTCAAATTTTTTGTGTCCCCTATCTAAAAGATACGATAATATTTTTCGATTTGAAAATTCCTTGTATCAGTCAGTCCATATCGTTGAGAAAAATGGAAAATATTATGTTCTAAAAAAAATTGCGCTTAAAATGCCCGACTCTTTTCTCTTCCGAAGTCGTAAAACACGTCCTGACGTTGATTAAAGCATGGCTTGCTTCATGCTTTGGTTTTCCTGACATATGATGGTTCCGGTAAAACATTTTGATGCGTTTCAAAGTCGTATAATCGTCTTTGATATGCTAAAAACAAAAGTTAGAGATGTTTTTCGCAAAACTAGAATATTTAGGATGATACAACACCATAATTAAAATGGGACAGCGAATAATGAAACATTATTGCCAGGATAAAACGGAGTTTGACTTCAAATTTTTTTTCTCCCCTATCTAAAAGATAGGATAATATTTTTCGATTTGAAAATTCCTTGTATCAGTCAGTCCATATCGTTGAGAAAAATGGAAAATATTATGTTCTAAAAAAAATTGCGCTTAAAATGCCCGACTCTTTTCTCTTCCGAAGTCGTAAAACACGTCCTGACGTTGATTAAAGCATGGCTTGCTTCATGCTTTGGTTTTCCTGACATATGATGGTTCCGGTAAAACATTTTGATGCGTTTCAAAGATCGTATAATCGTCTTTGATATGCTAAAAACAAAAGTTAGAGATGTTTTTCGCAAAACTAAAATATTTAGGATGATACAACACCATAAATGAATTGCGACAGCGAACAATGAAACATTATTGCCAAGGTAAAACGGAGTTTCATCCAAATTTTTTTTGTCCTCTATCTAAAAGATACGATGATATTTTTTCGATTTGAAAATGCTGTATCAGTTAGTATATATCGTGAGAAAAACGGAAAATGTTATGTTCCAAACAAATAAATCGCGCTTGAAAGGCCCGACTCTTTTCTCATCCGAAGTCGTAAAACACGTCCTGACGTTGATTAAAGCATGGCTTGCTTCATGCTTTGGTTTTCTTGACATATGATGGATCCGGTAAAACTTTTTGATGCGTTTCAAAGTGCGTATAATCGTCTTTGATATGCTGAAAACAAAAGTTAGAGATGTTTTTCGCAAAACTAGAATATTTAGGATGATACAACACCATAAATGAAATGGGACAGCGAACAATGAAACATTATTGCCGCGATGAAATGGAGTTGGCATCCAAAGTTTTTTTGTCCCCTATCTAAAAGATACGATAATATTTTTCGATTTGAAAATTCCTTTATCAGTCAGTCCATATCGTGGAAAAAAATGGAAAATATTATGTCTAAAAAAAAATTGCGCTTAAAATTCCCCGTTTCTTTTCTCTTCCGAAGTCGTAAACACGTCCTGACGTTGATTAAGCATGGCTTGCTTCATGCTTTGGTTTTCCTGACTATGATGGTTCCGGTAAAACATTTTGATGCGTTTCAAAGATCGTATAATCGTCTTTGATATGCTGAAAACAAGTTAGAGATGTTTTTCGCAAACTAGAATATTTAGGATGATACAACCCATAAATGAATTGCGACAGCGAACAATGAAACATTATTGCCAAGGTAAACGGAGTTTCATCCAAATTTTTTTTGTCCTCTATCTAAAGATACGATGATATTTTTTCGATTTGAAAATGGCTGGTATCAGTTAGTATATATCGTAGAGAAAAACGGAAATGTTATGTTCCAAACAAATAAATCGCGCTTGAAAGGCCCGACTCTTTTCTCATCCGAAGTCGTAAAACACGTCCTGACGTTGATTAAAGCATGGCTTGCTTCATGCTTAGGTTTTCTTGACATATGATGGATCCGGTAAAACTTTTTGATGCGTTTCAAAGTGCGTATAATCGTCTTTGATATGCTGAAAACAAAAGTTAGAGATGTTTTTCGCAAAACTAGAATATTTAGGATGATACAACACCATAAATGAAATGGACAGCGAACAATGAACATTATTGCCGCGATGAAATGGAGTTGGCATCCAAAGTTTTTTTGTCCCCTAACTAAAGATCGATTTTTCGATTTGAAAATTCATTTTATCAGTCAGTCCATATCGTGGAAAAAAATGGAAAATATTATGCTCTAAAAAAAAATTGCGCTTAAAATGCCCGTCTTTTCTCTTCCGAAGTCGTAAAACACGTCCTGACGTTGATTAAAGCATGGCTTGCTTCAT